TTTCTTAACCATAGTGGTTATACTGCACTTTTGTGGTGCAAAAGTCACTTCACCACAAACATAGCAGAAGTTATCTGCACTGTTCACACAAGTACGAGGCATCTCTGCTCACTTTGGCTAAACAGAAATGTGTCCCTTTGCAAAATCAAACATTGACAAATAAGAGAGCACGACACTGTACGATTTCTAGAGCTGATATAGGGCAATTTGTTCAGTGGAGTGATGCAAGCTTCGTTATGATTGCATCATCCATGACTTCTGGGAATAACATGATGCAATTCATATCATGTATGACGCTTCTCCCACTTATCCACCCCAAGTACAGTAGGTAACATATGCCAAGCTAATGCGCCTTTTTGGCAGCTCTCTTTCCCAGAGAGAATTGAAGATGCCTGCTAAGGAAGCTGCCCTGTTGCCACTATGAGATGACTGTTCCTTCTCTTTCAGCAATTCCTCTTACTGCGTATGGACCAATGGCGGGGCCACAGCTGCAGCAGCAGTAGTGCGAGGGACAGGTAACTGCCACTTTCCTACTTGGTGAAGCAACCTGACCGAGGTTTGCATTGGGCTACAGGAGGGGGGTGGGACGGGGTTGCATTTTTGGTATCTTAACCATATAGTTTTGCTTCCTCCCTTAGGTTCTACTGTGAGCCGCACTGGTGGGTTTCTGGGCACTACCAGTCCTGGGCCAATGGCAGAGCTTTATGGAGCAGCCAATCAGGATTCAGGGCTTAGCAGTTACATCAGTGCTGCAAGTCCAGCTCCAAGTACTGGCTTTGGCCACAGCTTAGGGGTGAGTGTTTCACACCAGCTGTTGAGGTTGGGGAGTAGAAGGAGGTGAGGTGTGTATCAGTCATGAAATTGGGATGGTGATTGCTACAGCTCTGAATACCCAAACCACGAGGGCTGCAGGCAACCTCAAGGCTTGGTTACTGCAATATACTGTTTGTAAGCTTAAAAACACTAAGCTTAAAAAAATCCCAATTGGTTCCTAATGCAACAACCTACTTGGCTTACTGAACAGGCTGCTGCATGCATATCACCCCAGCTCTGTGCTCTCGACACTGCTTCCCCACTGAACACCAAGTCAAGTGCTAGGTCTTGGTCCCAGTCATCCAAGCCCTCCACAGAATTGGTCCAAGCTACCCAAGGGCTTGTTACCTCACTCTGATCATAGCCTGGTCATGACAGCTACACTTCTCTGGGTAGATGGAACGCGCACCTCAAGGGTGAGACTCATGAGTTGTGGAAACAGCTTTCCCAGCATTTGGTCATGACTCAGCTGATCACCCTAAGGGTATGTCTACACTACCACCCTAATTCAAACTAGGGTGGTAATGTAATCAACCCAAGTTGCAAATGAAGCCCGGGATTCCGCCCGGTGCCATTTTTAAATGTCCGCTAGTTCGGACTCCGTGCCCCTAAGTGTTCAGAAAGACCACAACCATCCTCATCGTCAGAATGAAACCCACAACTCCCCAGGGTAGAACGCACATGGATCCCCAGGAATAATAAATGTTTGGGCAGGGAGGGGGAGAGTGCAGAGTAAACATCTGCTAACTACATGTTTTCCTATAGAATGTGGGACTACAGCTGGGAGAGGCCTGGGGATTCCATATGACTCTGCTGGGGGATATTAGGTAGCTCTGAAGAGACAGTCCAGTGAGTGCATATTTCCACTGAGTGGGAGATCTGTACAGTGAGGGCTGTATCACTCCATGTAAATCTCAGGGTGCTGAGAGCCCTCCACACAGTGGCATGGGGGCCACCTGATTCCAGTTAGATATCTAAGGGTATGTCTACACTACAGCGCTAATTCGAACTAACTTAGTTCGAATTAGTTAATTCGAACTAAGCTAATTCGAACTAACGCATCTAGACCTAAAAACTAGTTCGAATTAGCATTTTGCTAATTCGAACTAGCATGTCCACATTAAGTGAACCCTGAACAGGGGTTAAGGATGGCCGGAAGCAGTGCTGGCAGGGCATCAGATGAGGACTTAGAGTGTGGAGCTGCTGTCTCAGGCTAGCCGAGGGC